TCCTCCTTAATCTATAGTATAATATCCTCACGTCTTTCCATAATAATAGCCTGAGAAACACAGAACCTAGCGTATTTATGTTTTTGAGGACCTGAAAATTTACCAGCCCCCGATGCATACACCTTGCACAACAATAAAAATCTTAGAGATATCAGTTCTTTACAATTGGCCATGTGCTGATAAAATATATTTTAATTAAAGTGATAATTTATTGTAAAAAAAATTGTAATTGTAACTCTGTTCGTCCGGTTTAGAGTCCCGTCTTGATACCCAGAGTTAAGACAAACGGAACCAACACAACATGGAGATAGATTAAGAGAAAGGACTCGCTTTGATAACGGCACAGAGATACAACTATTCGTGCTTGATGGATGTCCGTGTTGCGTCTTCAGAATTGAAGGCGCGATGCGTGAACTCGCAATCCTCCGCTCTTTGCCGCCAATGAGATATCATTCGATTCGGGAGAAAAGGTAAAAAAAAAGGTCCAGATACATCTCTCCTATCTTCGACTGTTTTGCTAACGTAGCCTTTGAAGCACCACTTCAAACAAGACAGACGAAACCAACACAACATGGAAACAGCAAAGGAGAGGTCGCGCGTTGATGACGGCGCAGGGATACAACTATTCGTGCTCGATGGATGTCCGTGCTGCATCTGCAAAATTGAAGGCGCTAGGGCGCGAGACGTGAGCTCGCGATGCTCCGCTCTATGCCGTCAATGAGGTATCACTCGATTCGCGAGAAAAGGTAAAAAAAAGGGTCCAGATACATCTCTCCTATCTTCGACTGCATCTGCACGCAAAAGGAAATTTCGAAATTGCAATCGGAAGTGCTCGAAACAGCGACGGGAAAAGGAAAAAATCGAAGTATTTCATTGGAAATGCCAATTTTTGGCCATTTCAAGGGAAACCGGTGACCATCCGATTTTGCGGTTTTCTTTTTTCGGTTCAGTATACCTTGTACCAACAAGTTACATAAATATTCAAGCGTTATTCAGGTCGAAAAATATATATTTTTCTGGGCAGACTATGAAAAATCAGTATCTGAAAGTCGGTGAGAACGAAAACACACCAACTCGGAAATTTTTAAACGCTTCATTCTCTGTCATCAAACATGGTGTATCGATTTCAACTTGGTGCTTTACAAAGTCTCTGTGTATTTGTCCATTGTCCTTTGGCACCAAAAAGGTTTTTCTTAAACTGACTTCTTCGCCCGCTGCGCAGTTTTAGGTGTTTCCTGAACAATTTTTTTTTCCGAGTTGGTGTGTTCTCGAACTCACTGATTCAATTGAGATGTCTTAACTCTGGGTATAAAGGGACTCTAGTCCGGTTTGAAAACGCACTATTATCGGGGATAATGTGGCAAGGACGACGGAGACGGAAATGAGAGCTGAGGTTGCCGCTGCTCGTCGTTTCGTCACGCTTGAGAACCCCGATGCGTTGTCGGCTTCGTCTCCTGTCTCTCGTCTCTCTGACGCCCAAGTCGAATTTTCCTAGATTTCCTTTTTCTATTAAGCGCTCAGCCGATAGAGAGCGCTTATTGATTACAACCTGCCAATGAACGAAAGTTCGAATTTTGAATTTTCGATGGAGAGCACCGGACATCTCCCTTACTAATATGTTATGTCCGGTTTAAAACACTTTTAAATGTTCCAAATCGTTACGAATGTAAAATTCGACTTTCATCCGTCGAATTGGCCGATTTTAATCGGAATGTTGCCAGAAATAATCCACTTGATATTTGCCTTCAACTTTCCCGTATAGGCTGAAAATAAGTGTAATGCTAGGTATACGCATGCATGCATACGCCTTTCTTGAGCTTTAATTCGAAATTTTTAAGTAATACTTATCACTCAAACTTGCAGAAGCCCAGTTGCAAAAAATCAAATAATGATTTACCTAATCATTCCTGAGAAATGTCGAGGTGAGCACTTTCCTAAGCGAGTTTTTACAAATTAGGTAAGAATTGCTAAACCAATCGCTTTACTCATCGTTCATGAGTCATCATTAGGTGAATTCGGGTGTTGACTGTTGAAAGTAACGTTTTCACTTTCTTTTAAAATACCAACAAATATATTATCTCTGCTCTTAGGACCTCTTTTGAACCCCAAAAAAAGTCCCCAATTCTCTTCATGGTGGAATCCCCCCCCCCCCGCAAAATTTGGGGGCCAGTCTTTGCTCCTAAATGACCTCTATTTGTAAATGCCTCATTTACTTACTTTCCGATGTCTACAGTGGCATAAAATCTCACTTTCAGAGTCCTAAAAATCCGAATTACTTGAGCCACGCGTTGAAGCCGGCGTGGACGCCACAATAAAACCACCGAGCGCTCGGGAAAAACAACTTATCCTCGCGGGGTTTTCCATTTGCGTTGGGTCGTTCTTGCTCAGCGAGTGAGGGAACCATTCTAATTTGGGTAGACCGCAGAGTAGAGACTTTGATTGATAGCCACGGCGGGCGGGGAGCGGGGGGCAAGGCGGACGTGCAAGCGCGTATCACAAATTGGCTGCGTCTCAAAATAAGTGTAACAGTGGGGAAAAGCCATCAATAGTGCATGAACACGAGATACAAACACATGTGGTTTAAAAATACTATCGGTCTCCTTCGCGCCTCCCCCTCCCCGCCTTTCACCGCCCTTCTCGTCGCGTTCCGCCACCGTCTGAGAGTGTTCCCGAATTTTGACTATTTCTGGATACGCAGCGAAATTGATGAAATTTATCCGGTCCAGACGGGGATCATTGGCGGATCCGGAAAATTGGCAACATTGTCTTTTCTTCGTTTAAACCTATGGAAATGTATCGATTTTTGGAGGGGTCCGGCCATGTGCTCCGACGAGATTCGATTATTTAGCATAGGTTTAAATGGAGGAAATCCGGTGTTGCCAAATTGCTGGATCCGCCCATGGATGCGCGACTCGGAGAGTTCCTCAATCAGAGAGAGACAATATAATTTCCCACCCCACACTAATATCCTGCCGTGCGAAGGAAAAACATCGTATGAGCCCTCGGGCGTTGCCAGATTTCCCCTGGCAAATCACTAATTTTTAGGAAATTTTTCGAATATTTGTCTACAAATTTCTCAGATAATTTTGTTCGTAATTGGATCTAAAACCTCTGAAAATGTCAAGGAAAATATTCATAATTTTCCTCAAAAATAAAAATTTTATCGGAGTAAATTTGGCAACTCTCGAATGTTCACACGGCGTTCTTCCTTAGCACGGCAGTATCTTCCCCATCGTGTAAAACTTATGTTTGGAAGTCATAGCTCAAATTCGCCTCATGAAGACTTTGGAGCCCCCGAGTGCCTTAATCTTTCATTAAAAAGTCTTACTTGTAGATTCAAATGATCATCCCGTCAAAAACTAGCAAACGATTCAGAGCGTAGGGATAATCAATTATTCACCTAAATATTTGACCATGTAAGTATCTGAATTCATGAAACGTGTCAATGCAGTTTGATTTAGTAATTTACTGCCGCGCCGCTGCATTGGTGATCGCAAAATTTCAAATTGCTTTTACGCAAATGAATTTGTGAGGTTGAAAGACTCAGGAATACGGTAGATGACAGGTTGAACGAGGTAGCTCAAAAATGACCCCAATAGTCCCAAAGGAGGCATGGTTCGGGTGAATAGAAGAAGTACCTAATTATTATTAATTAACGCAGTGACGATTCGCGGCGCTCATCCATGGATTGTACTTTCAGAGTTACTTCTGGCTTTTTCAAAATGTGATCTGACACATCGGAGTGCTATGGCCTTGAATTTTTTCCCCTCGTAAAAAATACGGCAGATTTCTTGGGATGGTAGGTAGTGGCAATGTTCGTACACCTGGAATGGCATGGTTTTAAAAGTAGAGAAAAACTAAAGCTTGAAATGAGGATTCACTTGCCCATATGCTAATCCTCTAGATTTATGTTGGTAGGTACCTATATACTTTTGGATTTATCCTTACAGACGAATTCTTATTCACCTTCTTTTATACTTTGTTAATTTTTATTCATTTCCTACGTCCTTGGAGCAAATATTTGTGGGGCTTCATTCATTCTATAATTATGCGCCGGGTATGATTCAAGTAACTACTTACGTACTGATCGAACATTATACTTTTACCTGTTTTAAGAGTAAAAACATGCTATTCACCGTTAAAATTGAGAACTTAATTGACCACACTATTAGCAGAAGAAATGATCGAATGCAAACGATAAATGGTCAGCCTTTTACTATCCAATTAAATTTTTTATAATAGCCACATTACATGTGACATACTGACCTTTAGTTGTCATCGCACAGACCAGAAATAGACTATTATCTCAAGCGAGGCGCTAGCATTGACTTGATAAGAAAGCAAGTGAATGTTGCTCGCTGCTACTTCGTAAAGTTGGGTTCAAAGCTGACCGTTTCCTGTTAAAACGCGTGTGATCACACGTAGGGTTGGAAGCACACGACATGAAATCCTGTCATTCTAAAATTATTCAGTGACGTTGTCATTGTCATTTTTGCGTCAGGAAATCTATAAAAAATTAACAGTATATACTTGCATATACCTCAGAGGAATAATAGGGAGCCTCCTATCTACATGGAAGTCTCGCGGCTTCAATTTTTCTTTTTTCAAACGTAAAAATCTTTAAAAATCTCGCAAATAAGACACTGGCCTTATCTAAATACTTAATTATCTGCCTACAGCCAAAATACCATTGAAATCTGCCGGTGTAAACCCAACTGCAGAAATAATTTTTATGATAATGAACGTTTCGGGAAGCAGAAAGCTTACCGAAATATACATAAAGTTTTCGTCTGTCTTCACATTCATCGCCCGGCCGCCAAAAGGGCGAAGCTATCTCGTTGAGATGAGCCCGTATTAGCATTAAATTGTAATGGAAGACAGGGTCCATTGCAGAGTGTAATGATGTCCTCATGTCAGCAGGGCGGTAAATGGATTCCTCAGAACTTTCAATTCCTGAGTTATTGGTGGGGCAGTAATAAGAAATAAAATAAATACGTAAATAAATGAAAAGTTAAATATTATCCTTATATTTTAAAAATCTTGACACTGCTTTGTTTATTGACGAATCGTAAAAAGTACCACTACCGTCTAAAATTTCACGCAACTCGTTTATTCCAACTTATCATCATATCACAATTAAAGACGTGAGAGGGGTTTCAATGAGAATCTTTTGTTCGCAAAAGTCTTATTGCTGCGAAAGAAATAAAACGCAGCAGCAAGCCTTGTTGACCAAGAAATCAAGAATAACGTACTATTTGCTCTTCTATCTAAATTTGAAGTCATCGAGGCCTGCTATTAATAATCTCAGTTACTTTTCACTCTTCAAAGGTCTTAAAAACGATTATGTGCAAAAAATATGAATAGGTATCTACATTTCACAAAAATTCCAAATCCTCTTAATTAAGATAATACAAGAAAAACATCGAAAAAATTTCGCACTATGCAAATAATCAACCACGAATCTCATTTTCGTGATCAGCCCTCGGTTAACCATGGTGATAGAGACTGGGAGTATGTCTTGTGGAAAATCAAGTATTGCGAACAATTCGAAATAAGACAAACGGCTTGAAAATTTAACCAGAGAGACAATAGTTGTAAAAAAACTATAGAAACCACACAATTCTTGGACTTATTCTATCTTACTTGAGGAATGAATGAAGTTTTATTTTGGAACAAATCGAGGAGAAACTATAGAATTTCTTAGAATCAGCCACCATCATTTTTACTGGTTATAAATTAACCTTGTAGTATGGCAGAAATTTCCTCTCGATCGACCGCGGATAAGCCAAATCGCGGATATGTGAGACTCCGCGGGGCTTTTTATTTGGACTGCATTTTGCAATTTGGACCTATAAATTCTGGCTCATCTGAAAAAACACTTATGTGCATAGGGAAACTAATGGTACATACGTTGTTTTTAAACCGGGCCGGAATTTATAGGTCCAAATTGCAAAATACAGTCCATTTTAAGTACCGATGATAAATCACTGCCACAATAATTGAGCCTCCTAAAAGCTGATTGTAGGACCGTCAATTCTTGTCACCCGCCAGTCTAGTGGTGGTTAAAGCCCTGACTACGGGATGACTCAATGCTTGCAGAGGAAGGTGTATATGATTCACCACTGTATTAAAATCGGATCGGTATTGGCGTTTGTTGAAAAGAATGAATAATCAGAGGTTCCCCAATGGCCCTTGATGAACAATTATACTGAACCAACTGGTGTTGACTTTAGGGGCTACTGGGCTAGTGGCGCATTTCAGAGGATCGTGTTTGGATAAGTTAATCTTTCAGATAGTAAATGACGTCCAAACGTTCAGTTGATGGTAATGCAATAGTATTGGTAAGGTTGTTCGGAAAAGAGAGGATGAATCAGAGCATATTATGGCTCTTACATGTGAGCCTTATCAGTCAGTATAAGTCAATGAAATATGCTTCAGGTGAATCATGGATGAGACTTCATTGACCGTGCTTTACAAAGGATTATACATTTGTGAAGGTTATAGGCTCATAAACTTAAAATTTGGGCAGTAAATTTGGGCTATAATCTCTTATTGAATGGACTTAAGGGGCATTAGGTGCTGACTCCAGAGCCACATCTTTTTCAAAGGCACCATTGCTTCGCGTTACTTTTACCGCGGAAAGTTCATGGAGCTATGGTTTTCAAAATTCGGCGATCACGCAAGAGAATCTCTCCTTATGAAGGGAAGCCAACCATCCAAACACAGATCCGAGACACGTGCATCCAGCCCACTAAACGGACCTCCGGAGCCCCCTATGTCGTAGTCTCAGGACAAATACACGACTTGTCCTTCTTCAGCATGCCCTCTATACCATTGTAGAACCCATCGTTGAGGCTCTTGCCACCCTGGACAACCCCTTTGGCAGCGCTGATGGCTCCATCCGCGACAGCATCCCCGACATCAACCATCCCTTCCACCACCGGTGACACCACCGGGAGCATCCTGACTACCGGGTCCACGAGGTCATTCCGCGCGGCGTCCTTCACGTCCTTGGTCTTGTCCAGCCCGGCGTCGGCCACGTCATACAAACTGTTCGTACCCGACTTGACCGCTCGAACCACCCGCTTCACCGTCCTTCGCACAACGTTCACCGGACTGTACTTGTTGTAGCAGGGACACGGGTCTGATCCCCCACGTCTGGACATCTTCCCACCCCCACCTCCCTCGATTCTCGCTCCCGTGTTAAAGACCGGTCCACCGCGGGCTTTCATCTTCCCTGCGCGGAGTTTGTCTTTGTTCACAGCCGAGACGGATTTGATGTTGTTGTCGAGCTGGCTCGCGATGTCTTCGAAGGTCCCGCTGACGGACTTGAGCCGCTCGGGCAGAGCCTTCGTCGCCATCTTCGGCTTCTCCTTCTCCTCCTCCAGTTCGTCTAGTTGCCGCCCTCTGCGTGCTAGCAGTTTCTCGTACTCTTCCGTGCCTGCGTTGGAGGTTAAAGGTACCGCGCTGGGTGTTTTTAGAGACCTGGCGGTTGGGGTGGTTGAGGGTCCGTTCCGGGAGGCATAAAGTTTCGCCAGTCGTTCGGCTTGTTTCCGCCTGGCAAAGGGTGACAATCGGTGCGAGAAGGTGTCATCATCGTCGTCATCGTCGTAGAACCCTCTTTTAGGTGGTTCCTCTGACGGTAGGGACTTTGCGCCCAAACTAGGTGCTGGTTTCGTCGGGATGGACTTTACAGTGACTGGGAGAGATTTTCCAGTTACCGGGAGAGACTTTCCTGCCACTGGCAGTGACTTGGCACCCATCTTTGGAACTCTCCTCTGTTGCGGAACCTGTAGAGGCAACCGTTTCTTGTTGATGTCTGAGAAGGAGTTCACTCTTTTTCCGATCACCGAAAGCAAGTCAGATATGCTACCGGAGACGGCTACAGGTTTTTTCTCTGCAAGAGCTAAGGTTTTACCACCCGTAGGAGAAGGTTCCGATTTTTGAGTAACGCCCTGAGGGTTGGCGGGGGCATTTTGCTGATTCCCGATTTCACTCTTGGGCCCTGTCAATTTATCCCTTGCGAGTTTCCACTTAGATCTACGCGCATTTTTGTCTGCTTGTTTCTGTTCGTCGGAGAGCCCCTTGGTACCATCAGCAGGTTTTCCATCGTCGGTAGTGCCTTTTGGTTGAGAACCGTTCTGATTTTCGGGTACTTTCTTCTCTGGTTCTTTGCTGGCTTCTGTTTGTGATCCTGTTTTAAGTGCTTCTTCTGATGGCTTCGCCGGCGAACCATTTTTCTCCTCTGGTTTCGGAGTTACCGGAGTTTCCTTTGCCTCTGCTTGACTCGTTTTATCAGTCACTTGCTTTGCCTCTGGTTCGGTTGACGGGTTGGTATTGTCATTTCGGCCCGTATTCGTAGGGTCCTCGCCCTGCGGGGGATGTTTGCTCTCTTTGGCCTCTGCACTGTCCAGGTTGCCCAAGTCCTCAGCAGGCTCAAATTCATCTTCGTACTCTTCATCATCAAGGAGTGGACCTTCAGCAGGAGAGCCTTCGGGTAAACCCCTTGCTGTTAATGCTGCGCTGTGTGCCTGAAATTGAAAGAAAAATATTGAAGCGGTTGTGTGGTTTTTCAAGGTCTGGTTGAGAGGCGAGAATTGCTCAAGCCAGTCAAGAGTGCATTTTCTGGGCTAGTACTCAAAACCACCGATTACTATCCAGACACAGTGTTGTTCTGACTTCGGATTATCCGGATCAGTTTGGTAAAAATACGTGTGGCCAAAATAGGGACCCGAAGAATTTAGTATTTATCGCATAAATGTTCTTGTATACTCAAGTGACTGTGAAAAAAAGATGGAAGGAAAGCACAGATGTCTGATCATTATGATTTGAATCTCTGTCTAACCGTAGTATGTGCTTTAATTCATTAATATTTGTATAATATTGATTTATGAGTCCCTGGTAAAAATTGGCGATAGGAGCTGTGTTTCAAAATACCATAGGAGTTCTTGTAGCCAACTAAAGATGGCTATTGAAAATCACATAGCTGACTGTAGAAAGCGGAGCAAATCATATAGCCGGGCTATACGAAGCTATAAAAAAGTATACAGTCGGGCTATAGTTCCTATCGCTGGGCTTTACACTTCATCGCCATTGGCTATAAGAAGCTATAAGAAATTGTGTAGAAATTCGTGTGCTTTGGAAATCATTAAGTTTGATACGTAACTACCTTAATATTTACAAAACACACATTATATTTTCCTTTAAAACATTTTTTTTTTTTCATCAATTAAAATGAGAATAGTCCATACAGATACAGCAAACATTTCAAAATCATGAGTTGAAAAACGCTGACTCCACGAGATTAAATATTAGAGCCTACCACAAAGCGGAGCGGCGACGCACTGGCGCCTACAAACCTAATAGGGATACTTCACGCATTGCGCAATGCGTGAAGTGTTTCCCTGTTAGGTTTGTAGGCGCCAATGCGCGTTTCGCGCTCACCTTCTCGCTGCCCACCCGCCTTACCGCAGCGTGCCACGGCGTCTGAAGCAACTATTTCACACCAGAGGTATTCCACAGTATCACACGAAATTGAAGGCGCTCCAACATATTAGGAATGGCAGGCATCCTTCAAAAGTATGCAGCTTTCCTCGCAAAATAAATCAAGATACTACGGCACAAAAAGATAGCGGTAGTCCAAAAACTAACTAAGTCCTAGTATCCGTAATTAGTAACGTTTAGCATAAACTTTATCGTCTGGCTGTTGCTTAATCGCCATCGGCTATAAAAGGCTATATTAAATTGTACAGCCGGCTACAGAAGCTATTGGAAATCTTACAGCCGGCTTTAAGTCTATAGTATTTTGGAACACACATTCTACTGCCAACTTTTACCAGGGGTTCTATATAGACTATCTTGAAATGCACGTTATCTAGATTGGTCAAGTTTCTATTAAACCAGATAAGTGGAAGTTTTGTGTATCTGAACGCAAGAGTATTCTTTTTGATTGGCAATTCATTGTGATATTCTGGTGAAAATGGCAAGAGGCGCTTTCCTTTAAAACAGAGTAGACACTAAGATCAGAGCAAAATGACAATCACGTTGGTATCAGAAAAGAGTTGGACTAGTGCAAATAACGTTGTCATTGGCCCTGATCAGTATCAGTTGAATACTCATAAGCATACCAATCAGTACTGAGGTCAGTTTTCAAAAGGACTGATTAAGACTTACATCAGTGCCGCACTGGTTTCAGTCTTTTTGACACTGATATAGGTAAGTGCTATTTTGCGCTGACTTTAGCGTCGGCGCTGTTTAAACGGTACAAGCGACTTGCCTTTTTTACTAGGGAAGCGTAAGAGCTTTCTGGGATCTAAATTGCCAGACCTTGCAAGCGCTTGTGACTAGAATGGTTAAAAATGTGGTTTTATTTACTAATGTTTACGATAATTTTCTTAAATTTTATAAAAGGAAGATTTTATTCGATTTAGATATAGATTCACTGAATTATTTCGAGGAAACTCTTTTAGCGGCTAACCTTGGACACAATGGGTTAGTAATAGGTGCCGCAAATGTTAACATTCGAAAGTTAATGACAACCCTCCTCCACCCAAAATAGTCCCAAGTTTTTTTACCCTGAAGGTATGTTGGAGCTAAGTTTCTGCACTCTCTCGATAAAGGTAAGCTTGCTATACTGGCATGCGTGCATGAGGACATCAGTTATGTGTAATATTGATGAGAGGCAGAATCCGTTTCGATGCATTATGCTAGTTTAGGAAGGGCAAAACCTCAGATAATGTTTCTAAGTCCTTTAAACAGACGAACACAGCTCACCAAAAGATTTAATGAAAAGTCTGGAGGCTGTTACTGCCTATTCTGTTCTCTACAGATGTAAGGTAGGTATATTTTTCTTATGATCATAACAACATCCCTCCCATACCGTGTAAAATATTTCCTGTGCAACAAATATGCTTTCATACGCATTTTAAACGCATGAAAAAAACATCTGAATAGAAAAAGAGGACAATTAATGCGAGGAGTCAAGGTCGAAATAAATTGGATTTTTAATGTTAGTGAGAAATGATCTCATAATGATAAAATGGAGCACTTAGCTGAGATAGTGGGATAACGTTGAACTTTTTGCGGACCCGAATAAAAGGTTAAAAAAAAACTCGCGAAGTGAAAAATAAATTAATGATAATATCGTTTTGCCTTGCACAGAACGTTCATACGTTCGAGTAATGAGACACGGATTGAAGCGTTAAATTGTCAACATCATTCGTCGCAAACACAAGCAATCATCACAATAAAGTGATTTTTTATACGCAATGGCCTGTCGAAGAACGATCTCGGCACCTTCAATTTTCCGTGATACACTCCGCTTTGTTACGCCGCTTTAGTTGCCTATCCGATCCAAATCCAACTTAAGTTATTGACTTCAGCACCTTCATGCGCTTATGCAAGTAAATGCTTCAAGGCTCATGCTTACACTTATGCTAATGTTAGTTTGCCAGTTGCCACCATGAATCCACGGAGAAAAAAATGTCTATTTCAATTAAGTCACAGGCATTATGTTCAGAGCTTTCCTCCCTCCTTTATTTTTTATTTTCGATTTCCTTTATATTTGATGTTTTTCTATTTATCACACGTGGCCTTGCAAATCGCCAAAGACTGCTACTTGCCTGCGACCCATAGCTGCAATTTGCGTTTCTATCCAATACGCTGGCGCTAATAATCTGCTGGTATTTTCAGGAAGGATCGCGTCAAGAATGAGACGGGAACTCGCAATGATCTGCTCTAGTTTAAAGCAACATTGCAAATAAGACAAACGGAACAAACACAACATGGAAATAGAGCGAGGGAATGGATGCGCGTCAACGACGGCGCAGAGATACAACTATTCGTACTTGATGGACGTCCGTGCTGCATCTGAAAACTTGAAGGCGCGATGACGCGAAGGGTGAGTACTCAATGCTCTGCTATATGCTGCCAATGAGGTGTCGCTCACATTCGGGAGAAAAGTTAAAAAAGAGGCCCGAACACATCTCTCCTACCTTCGGCTGTGTTATTCACGTAGTGCTTGAAGACCCATTACGAATAAGACAAACGGAAACAAACACAATATGGAAATAACGCGAGGAAAAAGATGCGCGTCAACGACGGCGCAGAAATGCAACTATTCGTACTTGATGGACGTCCGTGCTGCATCTGAAAAATTGAAGGCGCGATGACGCGAAGCGTGAGCTCTCAATGCTCTGCTATATGCTGCCAATGAGGTGTCGCTCTGATTCGGGAGAAAAGTTTAAAAGAAGGCCCGAACACATCTCTCCTACCTTCGGCTATGTTCTTCACGCAGTGCTTGAAGACCCATTACGAATAAGACAAACGCGAACAAACACAATATGAAAATAAAGCGAGGGAAAGGATGCGCGTCAACGACGGCGCAGAAATGCAACTATTCGTACTTGATGGACGTCCGTGCTGCATCTGAAAAATTGAAGGCGCGATGACGCGAAGCATGAGTTCTCAATTCTCTGCTATATGCTGTCAATGAGGTGTCGCTCAGATTCGGGAGAAAAGTTAAAAAAGAGGCACGAATACGTCTTTTTTGTCGTCGCCCGTGTTGATACTCGTTCTTGCTTCTTTTTTCAGGTTCTTGCCTGATTCTTTTTTAAGATGGATTTGTCGACCCACGTCTTAAGCTCTTGTAAACCGCAGCACTGACAAGGTTCTTGTGGAAATAATGGTGCTTGGATGCGTCCAGTGGCTTTAATTTTTTATGTTTTCTTGAATTTAAGAAGTCTGTCGGTTACTTCAATACGTTCAATTCTGCAATTTTTACTCTGTACCTACTAGTACTGTTAGGAAACTTTGAGCCTGAAATTAGCGTAAGCTTGTGCTGCTTTGCCAAACTTTTCTGAACCCCTCTCCACGAAGGGGATGCCCCATCAGGAAATATCACATTACGCCCCTTTAACCAGCCAAGGATCTACACCCTCAGATGCGAGTCAGTCCGACCCTGCCTGAAACAAAGTCCTTTTGATTTCATAGCAGGTGAAATGGTCGAGGGTAAGACAATTTTTTTTCCCTGAACGCCACAAACACAATCCTAGCAAGCGAGCTACATTTCGTTTGTCGTAGGACTTGAGAACAGGTATTCCTGCCAACATATATTTTACCCATCTGGACTAGAAATGAAAGGATATATCATGAACGTAAAAGAAGGCGGATGAGGTATAGGCGAAAGCTGCTCTCAAGGTCGCATGAAAGCTCAATCTGTAACTTTGCAGGTATATCTCACATTTTGTATTTAACCGCTACTTAAATTAATAGCCACAGGTAAACATTGCATCGATCGATTTTCTCTGAAGCAGCGAGGATCGGAGATTGAATCTGATTCACATCGAAAAAATGAGATTGGAGGGGATTTCATCCTGGAGGGGATGATTTTTCAACATTTGGCGCAAAGGACACCCAAAAATTGACCATGTGGCAGCGATCCAAAGAAGGTTGAAAAATGAAAAATTTAAGAAAAACTAAAGTTTACCGACACCGTACCTACTATTGCTACCTGCTGCAATGAATAAGTTCAAACGCTCACAACATCATCAATAATGTCAATTATCACTTGAAACTTTGATGCCGTTCTTTGAAAAATATAATAAAAGGTATCGTCGAAATCTGGAAATCGACTTTTGTAATTCCACAGCTTTGAATAATTTGTCTTTCCCCTCAAGGCGCAATTCGTTTGGACTTGGTTACAACTTTAGAAAACTCTTTCAAATCGGACTGCGAATCCACCAGAACCAAAACTTCTCCTTAAAATGCATTTGTTTAAAAGTATAAATAAGTATAAATCCTTGGTCTTACTTGATGACACAGCAATAAAATCCACACGGTCAGCACAAACTGGCACCTCATTTTGGGGAGCGCAGCTAAAATCACAGCACTTTAATCTTTCATGAAAGCTGAAAAATGATGAAATGGCAGTCGCGTGGAGGTTTTATACCGCGTCTTTTTTTTGCGATCCGCTTCTCCTCTTAGGCTTGCATTTGGGCGCGTCAAACAAAATCCTATTGGAGGGATGGCTGCATTCGTGCTACGACCAGGCACGGATGGAAGAGAGCAGAGCTACAGACGCAAAAAGGATAGACTTAGCCGAGAGAAACAGCTCGGCTAAAAAATCATGGGAGAGAAAATTAATGGAACACGCAACGGAGGCTCTCCTGACTCTCGTGACTGATACAAAGTTCAAAAGGAGTTTTTCTGATTTTTGGAGTTTTTGTGTTCGCTTGGACTGTGATAAATATGTGGTTTTTCCTCGTGTTTTAGCGCAAACTGCGCCGGAACAACATTGGTGCATACGTCATCAGCACATCAGCAACAGGTCTTCATTGTTCTATTTCTAAGAGCTTGGTATAATCGAACAAAAAATACAGTTTATACCTGGAACATTATGGTATTGTTTTCTAGTAGAATTGCGTCTAAAATTCTCGTAAATAGTGATATGCCTCTGTGTTGTGGACCTCTGTTGTGCTGAGCCAGGGGTGTGGTGAAATGTGGCTGGGATCTGCGTCCATTTTATCCCTTAGGGCGAAACTTCCTCCCCTGACACCCCCTGCCCAACAGATCTTTCTCGAGATTTTTCCAAGTTTCTCACTATCAATGAGACGCGACAGCGTGATTTGACGATCAAAGTCAAGAGAACTACAGTGATAATGGGTTTAACAAGGTCACGTAAAGTGAAAAGAAACACAACTAGGACCATTTCGTGTTTTAAATTTATATTTTTAGGCTTTAATTTTATGTGAATAGTTATGTAACCGAGCAGATTTATCTTGATTGTGTTCCTCTTTTTCTGTTTAGTTCTGTTGAAAGAACCTATTTTTTAGGGTATTTCTCTTGTATCCCACTATTATTTCATATGGAAATTTTCCGTCACGTCACCATCCAGCCACAATCATGTCGAGTGTGGAAAGTGGTGGCTGGCCAGACATCTTGCGATGAGGCCTATGTATATGGATACGTTCAATTTCTTGCTTTCGATGATATTATTTTGTCTCTTTTTTCCGATGAAATTTTTTATATGCATGTTATTTTCTGAATTCACAATGAAATGGATTGCATTTTGCAATAAGGAACCACTATCTCTGGCTCTCCCATAAAAGTACATATCTGCATAGGGGAACCAATGGCATGCATGTTTGTTTCTAAAATGAGCCGGAAATAGTGGTTCCTTATTGCAAAATGTAATCCAAATGTGATAATTTCATGAAGGTTTTACTTCAAGAGTCGTCTTTAGGCAAAATGAAAGAATGAAACACAAATTATGTCAAAATTCTCCATCGCCATAAATAATAATCACACCATCGTATTGTAGTGTGTAAAAAATCCAGATTTATCTTTGTTACATCTGGACGAAAGGTGAATTTCGAACCAATTTATGTCTTTAAAAGGCCCTGAGTGATTTCCAAGGGCTCCCCGCAGCTTGACTTGGTTTATGTGAAGTTTTACCCTGTAAAGCAATTATCTAGTAATTAATGGACAATCGATCCAATTGTTAATTGTTTGCTCTTCGATTTGAAGATATGTGTCGATCATCAGTGCGCTGAAAGCTCCTCATCGATCAAAGTCCTCAGGAAATCGTCACCGGAAAAGCTTTTGAGTTTGAACTTTCTCTCTGCAATAAGGCTTTTTATGACATTTGGAAGCATATCCCTATGTGTGAATCTAACGATGAAATTGCAGGTGTGCGTAGGATTAAAATCCGAGGGTAGGTGACACGAGAACGAACGTTCGGGCGACGGTGATGGACAGATGCGTTCTGGAAGGCTGGCATGACGTCATGACGTCAGCGGCGCGGTGCAAGGATCCTGGGCGCCACGGTCGGCGGGGTGGGTGTTACGCTGGCGGGAGGAGGAGGGGGCGGCAGAGAAAGTTCAGTCGAGAGAGAAAGTGGCAAAAGCTTTGTCGGTGTCGGTGAACTCCCGATTGTCTGCCGAGACTGAGAGAGCGTTCCTGGGCAGATGACTCTCCGGCCGACCGTTTCACATTTTATTGGGGTCCGCTGCCCGCTTCCGAGCTAAGGGAAAAGAGGACCGAGGTCCGTGTCGTTTCTCTTTCTGGCCAGTAGAAAATGGAGGGAAAGGGGCAGAGGATTCCTATTCAGCTTGAAAAATAACGAGGTTGAAGAATTTTAGAGGAACGGAGAATTTGCACACACAAATTTTATTGCTTCATCGGAGAGTGTTCGATGAGCTGAGTTCGCTGTATTTTTCACAATTTTTTTCTGACATGGGAAATTGGGAAAAAATTTATTTAAAAATGACAAAATCTGCCGCCTTATGACGTCATCTGGCGGCATTTTCCACTTGAACACGTGTGTTTTAGCAGATTAGGTTATATTGTCAAATTTTATCCGATAATTATTCAATTTAGAAATCAAGGATATCCTCGTGCTCAGTTCTCCTATCAGTATCATTTTAAAGATGAAATTCACAAAGTTTAAGACCCCTGCAAATTCTGATAGTTCAATGGTATTCTTTTTCCATATGGACTTATATGAGACGGAGGACACTCCGGGCTGATTTTTAAGTATATAAACAAGACGATAGACGAAGAAAACATGGGGAAAATTAAAAAAATCGTTTTAGTAGAAGTAGGAGACTGGCAGTGGTAATGGGATGAGGAGGTAAATATGTCATTACTGAACTGAATATTTCAATTATCCAGCGCTAATTTTTTCACTTTTTCCGCGCCTTCTGGGAGTCCTCACCACATTTTCTGAATTACTGACATTATAAATTCATGTCTATGAAGGAGAAAATTACAACAATATAATATAAAAAAGGCTGAAACATTAGAAACACTAAAAGGCAGGACGTTTGGAGCTGTTACTAGCTCATTTTCAGCTGCAAAAAACACAAAAAACAAGTAAAAAACTTGTTAAGTGTGTGTGTGGGTTTTGCAGCTAAAATTGAGCTGGTAACGGCTCGAAACATCCTGCCTTCTAGTGTTTTTAATGTTTTAGCCTTGTTTACCCATGTTTTAATTCTCTCCTTCTTTAGGTATTTGTATATTCGGGCTATGTGTTTGTGCTTTATCTTTCACGTCCAAGTATACGAAGTTTTCGATTATAGGCGCGATTTTCCACCACATGCCCAGATAATCAAGATATTTGTGTTAGAAAATACCTTAGTCATTAATAATTACGGGAGCTCTAAGGGAATCTAATAGTGGGTAATGCATATTTTTCTCATAATACTTTGTCCCAGTTTCTCAAGTATTCTAGTCGATATCTTTTCATGGACACGATGCAATGTTGTTCTTAGACCAATAAACATGACAACACTCATCTGGAACCGGAAAACAAACCCCTTGGCACGTGGGCGGAATCAGCTGCGGTTTCCCTCATCTTCCAAGGCATGGGCCCTCAAATCGGGCCAGCGGACCATCTGCCTTTTTTAAGGCCCCGACGACACCCCCGCCCCCCGGCCCCCGCGCATCGCCCTACCCCAGACGCGAGAGCGCGAGACGCATCTGTTGAATCCTTTTGTACTTGCGCAACTTCCTTCTTCGTGCCTTTGTTCACAACCGCCAACCTTAGTATGCTACCGCGAAATTTTTCAAACTCATTCCTTGAGATGAGTTTCGTTTTAAAACGCGGAGGGAGCATCGCACGCGCTAGCAATTGGAGCTACCCCTTGGCTGCTTAGTCACTGCCAATTTTCTTCTCTAGAGAAGGGAAAAATTGAAATTGGAAAATCTGGGGAGTTTGGTGTCGAAAAGTTTTTAACGATCAAAATTAGACTTCATTCTACACAATATGTTCGAAACTACTATTTCATGGCTCATTTTTGAAATAACACACGTGTTGTTAATGTTTCCATGCAGATAGGTGCCCCGAAAACAATTGTTCAGGGGTTCTCCCCTAAAATTGAGGCACTACCACAATAAATTGGAAATATCCATATCATCCAAAGGCCCCGTGTTATTTTTTCATTAAGCTTATATGAATGAGTTATTTTAGTCAAAGTGACACTCGGTAATATCAGTTGCAGAGCCGTGGGTAGGATTGCAAATTAGAAGGAGTGAAATTCGGGGGCGAGAGGGGCGCAATGCACTTTCATGGTAATCATTATTAGGCGAAAAGTAGAGTTGGTATCTGGACTTAACCTGTGCCTCACCCAACTATGCCGCTCAAATTTTTGGTGCGGGGTCTCAAAATTGGATGTATATTATGCTAAAAGGAACTATATGCATAGGGTTTGTGTGAGACAAATCTAGTTCCTTTTGGCATAAATACGTTCAAATAATGTACTAAGGGGTACGTCCACGCTCTTTGGCCCTCACGCCGCCCAACCCCCCAGAGGGGGCTTCGGGCTCTATAAGGCCCGCTTTGTCCTTCCCCTCTCCTTCCCGTGAGTCATCTAGAGCGGGCTCATCTGGGGACCATCTCCTATCGATAGCCGCAAAAATCATGAAAATCGCCGGGTATGTCTTTAGAACGAACTGCGACCAAAAATGAAAAATGACCCGGTCTATGAATGACTCTTACGCCGATGTGATAAAGATGACCCTGTATGACCTGTATGACATTATGACAAATAACATCAGTAGATGTGATCATCGAGCGTGATCTGCTTGACCTATATAACATACTCGAGCCCTCAAATGGAACATTAAAGGCACTACAGGAGCATTACAATGAAGGATGGTTTTCTACACCCTCTCCGCAATTAAAGGCTACGTTCAACGGGTCGGAATCAGCTTCTGCAACTCGCGAGACCAGTGACGTGGCGTAAATGATCGATTATCGATATATTCCCATTCGAAGCTATGGTAAAGAATCGATTATTAAGGTGACACCCTTTTCATCGATCTTTTTCCATAGGTCTAAATGACAGTTCAATCGATGTATCGCAAAGCACGACTGCGCGAGACCCGGGACTCGGGCAATGCGCTTTGCGTTCGGCTGCACTCACGCATTGCGCAGGCCGGCCCCCACCTCGGGT